CCTCTCCCCGCTGCTCGGCTGCTGCGGGCGGGCGCCAGCTGCCGCCGCCGGGCTCTCTGTTCCGCTCTTCCGGAGCTGCAGTTTTGGGGGTGGAGGCGGGAGGGAGGGAGGACCTGAGATTCAGGCCGCGTGGGGAGAAGCGAGTGTGACATTGCCCGGCGGTGACCCCAGCCGGGGGCCCGCGCCTGCGGGACGGATCCGAGCTCCGGCGGGGTGCTTCTGGGAGGATGCACCGTTGACCGGACGGCGTGTGCCCCGGCCGGTGGGGCTCTGCTCTGGGGAGGGTTGTGGGCGAGTTCCCCCCCTCCGCCCCCGGCCGTTCGCTATCTTTGGGAACATCAGCTGTGTGTGCGGCTGGCAGGACTCCCCGACCCGAGCGGCTCCCGGTACGCCAGACTCGGCGGAGGTGGTGGCCGCGTACCGACTGCTCCAGAGTGCCTCAGTGCGTTCCTTTGACTTTCCAGGGGTGTTGTCGCAAACGTGAAGTTGATGAAGTACCCTTCTTTGTCACCGTGAAAGGGAACGGGAGGGACAGATCGCCGCAGTGGACAGGGCTGTCCCGTCGCTCCAGAATCGGGGTGCCCTCAGAGCAAGGTAAGTTGCAATGGAAACCTCCTATCCGAAAGTCCATCCCTCACCAACGGGCGTCAGTAACACCTCTGGCCGCTGTGCTAGGGGTTCTGCTCTTTCAGTTAAAATATTCGGGGGAGTTTTGTGTGTTTTTGGTTTTTTTCCTTTAAACAATTGTCTCTTAAACTCCCTTAGACTCTTGTTTTAGTCGTTGGGTGGGGCTGAGGAACTTCAAATGTTTTTGTTGTTGTTATTAAGTCGTTGTGCAGAGGGGTTACAGTTCCATAAGTTAAGAATGAGTACAGTTCTTCTTGGACTATTCCTTGTCACCCCTTTCGCTTTTCCTGTTATCTCCTCCGGTCCTTCCCCGCAAGTTGCACAGTTAATTTTTTTTTTTTTACATAGTGTATATTAAACAGTGCTACTGTCTCCTAGCACTTACAAGTACTGTGTAACTTACACTTATTTAATTAAATTTATTACTGTCTCCTGTCTTGGAAGAAAGGCAAATGAGTCAGCACTTTGGCATGTAAGATGGGGGTACCTGGAAGAGAAATGAAATGTCTAGAAACAGGGTCTGCTCATTACCATTCCTGGATCATCTTTGGTCAAGATGGACTTCAGTTGGTTGAATCATCATTTGTGTAGATCCAGCTTTGTTAAATCTCAAGTTCTTACTCAGTCCCTTATGAAATACAGCCGTTTGTTGGGAAAGTTGAAATATAGCCATGTATGTTTGGATACATTCCATATAAATTTATGCATTTGAATCTTATACGTAGGGTGCGTATATTCTGAATTATAATTCCGGGCTCATGTACAATTATATTTTTGTGGATAACAAATCAGAATATTTAGAATAGGAACTAGCTCAGAAATTGGAGATTGTTGTATAAGTATATAATATATTCCTTTTGTGAAATAAGTGATTGCCAGAATCCATGAGCTCCCCAGTGAATGGGGTTGCTGTTACATTTCCCTTCAGTGCTTCAGTTTTTTTAATAAGTTTTTTTATTGTGAAAATACTGTACAGAGGGGTTAATCACATGAACAAGGTAATGAGTACATTTCTTACCAAGCATTGTTGCCTCCTCCTTCGTTTTTCCCCTACCAACCCTTCCCTCCCAACTCCACAACTCCACTCCACACCCCCCCAACTCAGTTATTTCATTTGTGTTACAGACAATTGTAATTCCTAGTAATGCCAGAAGCACTTTGTGATTCTCTTGGGAGATGTGAATAGGATGTCTGATACCTGATTAGTGTCTAGTGTTGTTGCTACCAGCCATAAAGAAATTAGATTGACTATTATATGTCTTGGACTGGAAGTATTCTTAATCAGAATCGGGTAAAACAATCTCAATAAATATTGGGCTACCCCTGCAAGAGAGTTGATGTATTTTTTCTTCTCCCCTCCCCCGCAAAAAAGCATGCGTAAGTGGTGTTTTGACACTTTACAAAGATCTGAAAACAAGATTGCTCAGGTTTAACTCCTTAAACTAGGTCTTTTGTTTCAATTTATATAGTCACCTTTTTTTTTTTTAAGAGTAGGAGGATGGATCACAGAATTACATGGTTATATAGTTTTTACTTTCTTTTTTGGGGGGGTTCAGTCTTGAGGCTTGAACTCTGGGCTTGGGCACTGTCTCTGCACTCTTCAGTTAAAGGCTAGCGCTCTACTACTTGAGCCACAGCACCACTTCCGTTTTTCTGGTGGTTTATTGGAGATAAGAGTCTTAGGGACTTTCCTACCTGGGCTGGCTTTGAACTGCGATCCTCAGATCTCAGCCTCCTGAGTAGCTAGGATTACAGACATGAGCCACTGATGCCCTGTTATATAGTTTTCTTAAGAAAAATAATATTTGGAACTTTTATCTTTGTTTTTAAAAAAATTCTTTTATTTAAGGTTTTGACCTCCACCTAAGATCTGAGTGTGATTTTTCAGGTTGAAGTTCATATATGTTGAGAACTAGTTACGTTGAGATGGGATCTTGCTGTATTTCTTAGCCTGGCTTCAACTCCAGGTTCTTTTCTCATCCTCCCAAGTGGTTACTATTACAGTCATGCAGCTCAGGCATTGTATTTTATTAGTAAGAAAAAATGAATGCTTCTATTATTCTCCTACTACATCAGACTAAATATGTGCATACTTCCCTGCCTATGAAATTGTACTCTTTGGGGCTGGGAAGGTGGCTCAGTAGTAGATTGCTTGCCTTGTATGCATGAAGCTCTGGGTTCGATTCCTCAGCACCACATAAGCAGAAAAAGCTGGAAGTGGCACTGTAGCTCAAGTGGTAGAGCGCTAGCCTTGATCTGAAGAGCTGAGGGACAGTGCCTAGGCCCAGAGTTCAGGTCCTACGACCGACTAAAAAAAAAAAAAAAGAAATTATACTCTTAATTTCTAATGTGCTTTTCTTTACCTAATTTTTTTTTGGATCCGGTCATGGGGCCTGAACTCTGGGCCTGGGCACTGTCCCTCAGCTCTTCAGCTCAAGGCTAGCACTCTACCAATTGAGCCACAGCGCCACTTCTGGCTTTTTTTTTTTTCTGCTTATGTGGTGCTGAGGAATCGTACCCAGGGCCTCATGCATGCAAGGCAAGCGCTCTACCACTGAGCCACCTTCCCAGCCCTCTTTACCTAATTTTTAGGTTTTTTTTTCTTTTTGTTGCTGGGGTACTGGGTATGAAAGATTTGTCATTTTATTTTATAATAAAAAAAATTCCAATTACATATGAACACTCTGTTCCTGACAGAGGAAAGGACATACCAAATTAATTAGAAAGTATTAAAATACCAGCAGCTATATTCAGAGCTTCTGTTCTGTACTTTGTCCAAGTTGTGAAAAGTAGCTTGAAAGAATTACTGGTCTGGATTAAAAATTTTTTTTTCATTAAAATTTTTTTTTAATCCAGAATCAAAGCACATGTATAAGTACTTACATATGGGCTGGGAAGGTGGCTCAGTGGTAGAGCGCTTGCCTTGCATGCCTGAGGCCCTGGGTTCGATTCCTCAGCACCACATAAGCAAAAAGAAAAAAGCCGGAAGTTGTGCTGTGGCTCAAGTGGTAGAGCACTAGCCTTGACCTGAAGAGCTGAGGGACAGCGCCCAGGCCCAGAGTTCAAGCCCCAACAACAAAACCCCCCCCCCCCCCCCAAAAAAAGTACTTACATATTCTCCAGGTTATAGACAATGACAGTAACAGCTAGCCCAAGCGAGGCCAGCTTTTTGGTCAATTCCGATCTTAAGAATTTCTTTATTTTTCCTTGATAAGAAGTTGTGTCTTGAAACGTGACAGTACAAGTTAATTCACTGAGTAGTAGGAACAGAAACATTTTGTTGGATAAAACCAAATTTCCAATGAAGGTTTAGTAACCATTTCCTCAAATATACTTTTTCAAACCATTTTTCAGATACATGATGCTGCCTGCTCCCCACAGCCACCACGGAAGGCAGGAAGTGTAGATGTTATTATACCATTTCACCGATGACAAGCTAGATGGTAGTTTAAAGTAAATCATTCAAAGCCTAGAATATTTACGTCTTAACAAAATTTCTGGTTCTTCATGCCCTCTGATTCTGTTTGATGCAATTGGTTTTTTTTTTTTTTTTCTTTTGTCGGTTGTGGGGCCTGAACTCTGGGTCTGGGTGCAAGGCAAGCACTCTACCACTGAACCACCTTCCCAGACCTGCAATTGTTTTTTCACTTCTCAATTTTTGGGTGAGGTAGAGGTAAGTTTAGATTTAAGAAAGAGATGAAGCCAGGTGCTGATGGATCACACCTGTAATCCTAGCTATTCAGGAGGCTGAGATCTGAGGATTTTGGATCAAAGCCAGCCTGGGCGAGAAAGTCCATGAGACTCTTATCTCCTTTCAGCCACCAAAAACCTGGAAGTGAAACTGCTCAAAGTGGTAAAGTCTTGAGAACAAAAACTCAGGGACAGTACCAGGCCCTGAGTTCCAGCCCCATGACTGACCAAAAGAAAAAAAAAAGATGAAGAGACAGAGGTAGAGGACATGGTTAATTTATGTAAAATAGATGGATGGTTTTCCTCCATCATTCACATAAATTTGAGCAAGGTCACAGAATGCAAAGAATATTTCCAGATTTCATTATATAATGGCTGTCAGTCAAGTATGAGTTTGACCTTTAAAGTCAAATTTGGCTTTGTCCATATTTTCTTATTTTTGAAACTCAAAGAACCACTCCAACTCAATTTCTTCTAAGAGAATCTGTTCCTGGCACAATTATATTTTCTAAATATTCCTTTTTCAGAGAAAAAGACTATGTAACAAGTATGTATTAACATGCTAGGATTCTGCAACAATTCACAAAGAAATCAAGAGACCTTTCAGTTCTCAGGGCAGCAATTTCATATAGTTGGAAGGTCAGAACCACTACAATATCAGTTCCACTTGGAACCAATTTTGTTTCAAAAGACTTTTGAGAGGCTAATTGGATCACATTTTCAGTTTCATTAATCTTTTTCTCATATTCTTCTGTTGCAGAAATGATATAAGATGAGAACATCAATACGTATTTCATATATGACAAGAGAAGAATAAAGGAGCCCTTTGGGCATAATTGCCTGAGTTTAGGAAGGAAAGTTAGATGTAAACTTCTGTTTTCTTTTTCCTAGTGTTTTTTTTTTCCCCAAAAGATAAATCACAGGGCTGGGAAGGTGGCTCAGTGGTAGAGTGCTTGCCTTGCATGCATGAGGCCCCGGGTTCAATTCCTCAGCCCCACATAAGCAGAAAAAGCCGGAAGTGGCACTGTGGCTCAAGTGGTAGAGTTCTAGCCTTGAGCTGAAGAGCTGAGGGACAGTGCCCAGGCCCAGAGTTCAAGCCCCATGACCGACAAAAAAAAATAAATCACATTGAAACATATATCACATTGATACATATATACGAGATATATCTCATATATATCATATGTGTATGAGATTATATACACACACATATATATGTAGGTTACATGTATAAATTTTGATTGATATGGAAAACTTTTTGGTAGAGTCATTCTCATCTAGCACTCCTTGATTGATAGTTTCCTGCTTCCTTTGTAAATAGTTTTCTTACGACTATGTCTAGATGTTATATTTATAGTGATTTCTTACACCACCTACATACAGAAAAACAATGTATTGTTCACTCTCCATATTCTTTACCTTCACTTTGTGGTCCAAACATCCTCATTTTTATAATAAGAATATGTCTAGATTTTGCAAGTGAGTAAAGAGATGCCATATTTAACTTTTAGAGTTTGGCTTATGTAGCTCATCATGATAATGTCTAGCTCGATTCATTTTCCTGCAAATGTTATAATTTTATTTTTTTTATGGCTGAGTATATTCTATATTACATGTGTTCCCTGCTTTCTTTTTCCATTCATGAGTTGGGTACTCTGGCTGATTCCACTGTTTGACTAGTGTGAAGAGAATTGCAGTAAACCTTGGTTATATTGGAATCTTTCTTGTATATTGATTTGGATTCCTTGGGCTGTATGCCCCAGAGTGGTATGATGGGGCTGTGAGGTATGTCTGTTTTAAGTTTTTTTTTTTTTTTTTGGTCGGTCGTGGGGCTTGAACTCTGGGCCTGGGTGCTGTCCCTCAGCTCTTCAGCTCAAGGCGAGCACACTACCACTTGAGCTACAGTGCCACTTCCGGTTTTCTGGTGGTTCATTGGAGATAGGAGTCTCATAGTCTATTCCTGCCCAGGCTGGCTTTGAACTGCGATCCTCAGATCTCAGCCTCCTGAGTAGCTAGGATTACTGGCGTGAGCCACCAGCGCCCAGTGTGTTTTCAGTTTTTTTGAGGAGGTTCTGTACTGATTTCCACATGTTCTGGTTTACATTCCCTCTGATGGTGCATTATGACTCTTTTTCTTTCCACATGTGTGTCAGCCTTTGTTATTGTTTGTCTTTTTAATGATGATTATTCTGACTGGGCTGAAATTGAAGCTTTGGATAGTTTGCTACTTGTAATTTATCTGTAGTACTTGTCAACCATCTGCATCACTGACCACCACTGCGTAACTGGTGACTGTCCCACAGACCTCACCTGCATGTACAGTTAAATCCTGTGGGTTCTCATCTTTGGTTTTCTCCCAGTGTTGGAGAAAAATTTTATGTAGCAGAGTATTTAGGATACTGATTATAAAATTATCCTCTGTCAGGGCTGAGAAGGTGGCTCAGTGGTAGAGCGCTTGCCTTGCATGCATGAGGCCCTAGGTTTGATTCCTCAGCACCACATAAGCAAAAAGAAAAAAGCCAGACGTGGCGCTGTGGCTCAAGTGGTAGAGCACTAGCCTTGAGCTGAAGAGCTGAGGGACAGCGCCCAGGCCCAGAGTTCAGGCCCTACTACCAGGCCCCCATCCCCCCCCCCAAAAAAAAGATTACAGGCATCTGGCTTCTTACTTTTTTTTTTTGGTTGCTCATGGGGCTTGAACTCTGGGCCTGCGTACTGCCCTTGAGCTCTTTAGCTCAAGGCGAACGCTCTACCACGCAAGCCACAGTGCCCCTTCTTTTTAAGAATAGAAATCTCTTTTATCCAATATAAATGTAAACTTTTCAAGGAGAATTTCTTATATGATGTGTGGTACAGAGTTGATCTCCATAATTATTTGCTACATGGATTATTGAGTTAAAGAATACCATGTAAAGAGGTAACTATGCGAGGAGATAAAAATATGATACATTGTTTTTAAATTGATTGTTCTATGATATATTGTTTGTCTTTTTTAATATGCTTAGTAGATAGTCTAGTTCGAGAATACTTCGTATATAGTCTAGTTCGAGAGACAAAAAAATTAGATCTATATAACAATTAACTGAGAAGTGAAAACAAGTGGAATGGGAAGTTCGAGAATGAAAAACAAATTGGAGTAGCTCAGTCTTGTCTATTTTCTGAATCTAGAATCATGAAGGATTGGCATGGTTCTTTTATTTTATTTTTATTTTTTAATATACCAAGGAATTGAACCCAGGGCCTCATGTGTGCTAGGCAAGCTCTCTACCACTAAACCACATTCCCAGCCCCTGGTGTGGTTCTTATGGAATGGAAATGATTCAGTCAGGTGCAGTAGAGGAATGAGAGAATTGGAGGCTTGCTAAGTCGAACACAAAGCTGAGGGGAGTGTTGATGCAGCTAAGCTATTCTGAGGTTCTCTGTACCATAAATACACACTCTTTCTACCAGTACCTCTATGCTTGTCCTCAGGAGCAAGGTACTTGTTCTGTTTTCCTGAATCAAAATAGCATCCAGAGCAAGCATTTTGAATTCGTTTTGTGACAGAACTGTTCCACAGTGGCTGAAGTCCACTGCTCTCTGACAGGTACAATGACGGATTGAGGGCTTTTGTTATTTCTCCAAGCTTAGTTTCCTTCCCCTATATCTTTAGGGCATATGTCTTTCCTCCTGCATCTTGCTAGCTAAGGGGGAACATGGCGAGGGAGCTCCAAACTCCAAGGGTGTTTTCTGTTTCATGCCACAAAGATGGATGGCAAGAGTGCCAGGTGAGTTTGCATACTCCTCATAAAAACAACTCCTCATAAAAACACAAGGTCTTTTCTTTATCTTTAAATGTAATAATATAATTAGATAGTGAAGTCATATAACTTCATAAGGAAAAGGAAGTGAATGTTTTTTACTTAGATCTCTGTAGAAATTACTATTACTTTGCAACTTGTGAGTTTGGAGTTATTCTTTGCTCTCAGAAAAGTTGATAATAGGACATGTATTGCTGTGTATACATAGAAACCTGGGGCTGGGAAAGAAAACATTACTGTGCTTTTGTTTTCTCCTTGAAACTGAGCCTTATATAAGATTTAGGAAGAGGAAATAAGTTTTTCTTCTTGTTCTCTTCTAGACTTTTGGAATTGATGATACTGTCTTCTCTTTGAAAGGAGTTTGTTGGGAAAAAAATGCTTTTGAATTGGCTGCAGTCTCTCCTGCACATAACTCTTAAGACTGCAAGCAGGATAGAAGCAAATTAAATGGAAAGCTCATCCACAGCTCAGAAAAACACCATGGAGTTTTGAGAAGTTGAGAGACCATGGTGGCGGCCATGGGTGATCAGGATACAGCCAGACAATGTGGACCAATTCCCTCAGACTACGGTTTTTCTGCTGTCTGCTTGCACTGCTGATGGTGGTGGTGCTGGTCATCAATGTTACTCAGGTGGAGGTAAGTACCCTACATACTCCTTTACAACTGAGTGAGGACTAGGGCCTCACCGGCCTGAGGAAGCTTATTCTACTAACAAGTTTTTGTGCCTTCTTGAACTCAGGGCCTGAACACTGTCCAAACTTTTGGTCAAGGTTAGCATTCTACCCACTTGAGTCACAACTTAACTTCTGGCTTTTTGGTGGTTAATTGGAGATTAAGAGCCTCTTGAACTTTCCTTCCTTACTGGCTTTGAACCTCAATCCTCAGATCTTAGCCTCTGGAATAGCTATGTGATGTAGATGTGTGATTACGGTTCGTCGCTACTCAGTACATTTTTGTATGTCTCCACATATTTTCTCCTTTTGAAGGACATTTTAACCTATGGTACAACATGAATGAATGGTCAGGACATTGTGTTAACAGCAATGTCAGTTGCAGAAAGAGAAATACCATATAATTCCACCTATAAGCAGTATTTAGAATAATCAAATCTATAGAGTCAGAAAACAGAACAGTGTATGTCAGTGGCTAAGAGAAGGAATAGATAATTATTTATAATAGGTACAGTTTTCATCTGGGAAGGTAAAAATGTTCTGGAGATAGATGGATGGTAGCAGGAGTTGCTTGTGATGAGAATGGATTAATTACACTGAACTTCACACATAAAACAGTGAAAATGGTAAATTCTGTATATATATTTGACAGGGAGAAATGCAGACACAGATAGAGACACAGAGAAAGTGAAATTTCTGCAGTATCTAGAGAGGTCATGGGAAGTTTCCAGGCAGGGGAACACCATCAGAATGGAATTGGCACTGTCTTAACTGTAGCAAAACAATAGCAATTCAAACCAAGAAAAAGAATAAATACCTAGTTTTTATACTTTAAGACCATTTCTAATAGGAAATACATAGCTGAGCCACACTCACATTCTTTAGAGTGTCTAATGGATGTTACTAATGGCTCACAGAGATAGAAATCTGTAGGACCCTATGTGACCATTTCATTGTTTGGTTAGGTACTCTGCTGAAAAGCACACAGTGAGTAAGATAAATGCAAAGCCCTCTGGCTATCTTGTAGAACATCTGGTGCTTAGAAAACCTAATGAGCTTTAGAAGAGTGAGGGGAGGTGGAACGGGAAAAAGAAAGAGGGCTAATAACTTTGAAATATATTGCAACTATGTGTGAAGACAGCATGGAGAACCTCAGTGATAGCTGTTGACCAATATGGAGGTGGATAAAGCAACAAAGATTTATTCTGAGCAAAATATACTATGTGCCTGTTTTGGAACACCACAGTTGAAACCTCTTGGTGCAATTAATATACTCTTTTCCAAACAAGTGACAGGAAACTAAAACAGGCTCTGATGTGGGTGAGGGTACCCATGGGAGTAGTAGGTAAGGCTTAACAAGGCAAATGGGCATGAATATGGTCAAAGTAGTTAGTTTGTATGTCTGAGTATAAAACAGTGAAACCTGTTGAAATTATTATGTTTATTATTTTGTGCCGGTCCTGGGGCTTGTGCTGTTGTGGACACTGTCCCTGACTGTTTTTGCTCAAGACTAGCATTCTACCACTTGAGCCACAGCTCTACTTTGGCTTTACTTGGAATTAATATCTCACGAATTGTCCTGCCCAGGCTAGCTTCAGATGATGATCCTCAGATCTCAGGTTCCTGCCTGTTGAGATTATTACTATTTTTTGTTTCCATTTCCTGGTGTGTGACCAGAGGCAAACAGACATTGCACTTTGGTCTCACGTGTGAGACTGCCTAGAGTGCTGTATGCTGAAATTATGTTAAGAAGTGGAAGATGAGAAATAACGGACAGTGACGGAGGAGGTGTGAGATTGGTTGGGTTATCTTGTATACCTGTACAGAAGGTCACAATTAACCCTCTTCCATTGTAAAGCTACTGTGTGCTACTAAAATTCAAAAATGAGCAAAGAAATACCATAATTAAGTTAGACCTGTAACTTAACAAGTGCCACAAGCCAACAAAATAAAGCAGTGTCTTTTTTTTCCTCTCACAGAAACTAGTACATATATTTTGGTGCTGTGTGTGTTTACAAGGGGGAAGCGGGAAGAGGGAGAAGTATTACAAAGTACCTTTTTAGCAGGAGACTTGAGTGAGGCTCAGACAGACCTGGTCTGACTGGAGATACCAGTCTTTTGGGGCCACACAGTAGTCCCCAAAATAGACTTACCAGCTCCCTCCCGTTAAGAGTCAATTTGGCCACTCGGCACTGGTGGCTCATGCCTGTAATCCTAGCTACTCAGGAGGCTGAGATCTGAGATTTGCAGTTCAAAGGCAGCCTGGGCAGGAAATTCTATGAGACTCCAGGATGAGTGGTGCTGTGGCTCAAGTGGTAGAGCGCCGCCTTGAGGTGAAGAGCTGAAGGACAGTGCCCAGACCCAGAGTTCAAGCCCCATGACCACCACCACCACCAACAACAACAAAAAAAGAGTCTTTTGGCCTTTAGCTAGCTGTTAGTGAAAGGGCTTCTGTTTGAGAAAGCTTTTCCTTCTTCACTGTGAGGCAACCCCATAGTTTTCTCATAATGATTTTGTCATGATTTTTGTCACATTACGGTAAGATAGTTCTGTAAAACTTGGGAACTTTGTCTTTTGAGATAAAGACAACCCGGTTGCTCTTACACACATCTAAACAGAAGCGACATCTGTTTGCCTGAATGTTGAGCCATGTACTTCAGTCATGGTGTCATTGTTTGTGTCTTTCTTTAGTACTTGGACCACGAGACTGTTGCAGCCACATTTGTGGACAGCAGTGGACAGTTTGTCCTCTCCCAGGCCACAGGCATTAACCGGAGCCCCTACTGTGGTTATGAACAGCAGACCCTGTCCAGCCGGGAGCGCATGGAGGAGGACTCCCTGCTGGCCGCCTTGCAGTGGCAGGTGCCTGATATGGGGCCAGTCCCATTTGTGAAGAGCACTGACCCTTCTTCCAGCTACTTTGTCATCCTGAACTCTGCAGGCTTCTTCAAGGTGGGAAGCCAGCTGGAAGTGCTGGTATATGTGAAGGATTTTCAAAGAAAGCCCAAGAAGTATGGTGGAGACTACCTACAGGCCAGAATCCATTCCCCCAAGCTCCAAGCAGGAGCTGTGGGCAGAGTGGTAGACTACCAGAATGGGTTTTACAAGGTCCTTTTCACTTTGCTCTGGCCGGGCAGAGTTAAAGTATCCGTATCTCTGGTTCACCCCAGTGAAGGAATCCGAGTTCTTCAGCACCTGCAGGAAGAGAAACCAGACAGGGTCTTTTTCAAGAGTCTCTTCCGTTCAGGAAAAATTTCTGAAACCACTGAGTGTAATGTGTGTCTCCCTGGAGGTCTGCCCCTGTGTAACTTTACAGATCTCTACACTGGAGAGCCCTGGTTCTGCTTCAAACCAAAGAAGCTCCCTTGCAGCAGCAGAATTAACCATTACAAAGGTGGATACCTGAAGGGCCTCCTAACTGCCGCACAGAGTGCTTTCTTCCAGAGGTGGGTGCTGCACGTTTTAGGGGTAGAGTCCTTTTACTGGCCTTGCTCCAATTAGGAGGCTCTTGCTTTGAATGTGTATTCCTTACCTCTCAGCTTGATCTAGTTTAGGGACATTGGTAAAGAAGAATATAAACAATGCTTTATAGTTAGGACTAGCTTTTTTTTTTTGGCTAGTCCTGAGGCTTGAACTCAGGGCCTGGGTGCTGTCTCAGAGCTTCTTTTGCCCAAAGCAAAATCCTGTCACTTGAGCCACAGCTCCATCTCTGTCATTGTTGGCCGTTAACTGGAAGATAAGAGTCAACATGGATTTTTCCTTCCCAGCCTGGCTTTGAACTATGATCCTCAGATCTTAGTCTCTTGAGTACCTAGGATTATGGGTATGAGCCACTGATGCTCAGCATGATTAGCACTTAAAAAATATAATTTTAAGGTGTTGTACAGACTTTCACTTTTCAGGTAATGCATACATTTCTCTTTTGGACAGTGTCACCCCTTCCTTTGCTTTCTCCCACTGCCCACAAGTTGCATAGTTCATTTTCCACATAGTGTATACTGAATACCATGATTGCATTCGTTCACCCTTCCTCCCTCCCTTTCCGCGACCCTCTTTTTAGCCCCCCAAAGAAGCAGAAAAAAACCCCAACCAAACAACAACAACAACCACAAAAACACACACACCACTGCTACCACCAGCTACAACATAAATAAGCTGTTTCTGTCTCCCGGATTTCGTTTCAGTAAATAGTGTTTTACATGTTCAAGGGGGTTATGCCCTCAGGTTCCTTTCTTATGATTATCTCCTTTGGTCTGATTAGCATTTTGTACAATATAATTTATTGTTATTAAGGTGCTGTACAGAGAAGTTAGCACTTCATAAGTCATGTAGTAGTACATTTCTTTGGACAATGTCACCCCTTTCTTCACTTTGATTAGTATTTTTTTTCACTTTGCCAGTCATGGGGCTTGAACTCAGGGCCTTGGTTCCTGAGCTTCTTTTGCTCAAGGCTAGCACAGTACCATTTGAGCCACAGTGTCACTTCTGGCTTTTTCTGTTTATGTGGTACTGAGGAATGGAACCCAGGATTTCATTCATGCAAGGCAAGCACTTTACTACTAAGCCACATTCTCAGCCCAAATTAATTTATATTATTATTATTATTATTTTTTTTTTGCCAGTCCTGGGGCTTGAACTCAGGGCCTGGGCACTGTCCCTGAGCTTCTTTTGCTCAAGGCTAGCACTCTACCACTTAAGCCACAGCACCACTTCTGGCCTTTTCTATTTATGTGGTACTGAGGAATCAAATCCAGGGCTTCATGCATGCTAGGCAAGCACTGTACCACGAAACCACATTCATAGCCCTTGATTACGCTTTTTAGAGTGAAATTTAGAGCTTGTCTAAAGTTAAAGTACTTTCACCTTTGGATCTTTTATTTTTTTCCCTTTTTGTCTGTTTAAACTCAGGTCCCCAGCCTTTATAGGCTGGTGCAATACTGTTGAGCCACACCTCCAGCCCAGTTGTCACTGGTATTTTGAGGGTACAGTCTCACTTCCCATCTGAACATACATTTGAGCTTGTGATCTGCCACTTAGGCTTCCTGTTGTTGCTGGGATCAAGGTCTGCAACTTCACATCCAGCTCCATTTCCATAGAGATAGAATCTCTTGATCTTTTCTGCCCAAGCTGGCCTGGCACTGCGATCCTTCCAGTCAAAGACTTCCATGTAGTTTGGGATGACAAGTGCATGCCACTGTGCCCACTGAACTTTTCTGTGATCCTCCTGTTCTCAGCTCTCAAGCATTTTAGGATTACAGACATGAGCTGCTGGTGCCTGGCTACCCTTGAATTTTGATTCTTACTCAGCTGTCTGTTTTACTTCAACTGCATACCGTATTTGTAGCTATACAGAAGACTAAAACAATGCCACCAACACCAACACCACCTCATCCATGTCCAAGGCTGCTAGGGGTCTAAGTAGTCAGACGAGTTTCAGCTTGGTGTTGAATTTACCCTTCCTTTAGTGATGTGGCACTGCTTGTTGAATGAACATACTTTTTTTTTCTAAAATAGATGAATTTAACAAAATTCATGATTGCATATTCCTGTGTTAAATGTTTGGATGTTTATTTATTTATTACTTAGCACTCTGCTGTTGCTGTGTGAGCACAGTATCCCCAGAAGGACTCATCTCACTATGGGCAAAGTCTCAGGAATCTGACACATGACTTAATGCTGCATAAACTTGAACCCTAAAACTAGATAGTGACAAGACTTGTCAGCATGAGCAATTCCACAATCTAATGGGATTAATCCAAACTAGTTGGATTATATATTCTTAGGACTTGCTAAGTGGTACATATATATATATATATATATATATATATATATATATATACACACACACATATATATATATAT